CTGTGGTCCCCGAGATAATTTTTCCCGCCAAATTTTTTTCTCACAGGGCTTTATGTGAAATCCAGGTGCATGTGGAGGACCTGCGGGGCCACACGTGGGCGGGGAAAATTCTAAAAACCCAGATTTCTAACTTCTACAGCTTCTGAGTTGAAAGTGCAAAACAAATCGCACTTGAATACACACACACACACACACACAGAAGCGCACCAACAGGCGTTTTGTGCAGCTGTTACACAGCAAGAACCATATGAGAAACCAAAAAAACCCAACAATTCACACAAAAACAACTTACGAACGATCCGGTTCCTCTCGACTCTTATCATTATTTTCTTCCGAAAATCCTGAATCCGGGCTTGCATGATTATCTCCTTTGGTCTTGACAGTTGTGTCTGTGCATTTCACCTCAGCAGATGACTGCATATCGTCTGCTCGCTTTTCTTCGCCAAACAGATCCTTCATCGTGATTTTGCTCTTATCAATTTCGGTCTACAGCATCAAAATTATAAAATTATCACCTAACAAAACGGTATGAACGATCGATGAGAAATTCGAGACTCTCAGATGGGAATCTTATAATTATTCTTCGTAACACTTTCCGCATTAACATTTACCCATCGCACAGAATGGCACATTTGTCAGCTACACTCTCTGGAGACTTAATAGCATGCTTCGTTAAGCAGCTGCCACTGTGTAACAAAGAGAGTCAAAAAACATACAAACACACATGCAGGCAGACTGTCAGACACGACTTTGCCCAGTATTCGTTTTTATATTTCGTGTAACTGCAAAAAAAGCATAAAAAAGTGGAAGAATTATCCACCTTGGCAGCTCGTTTGCTGCTGCAAGGCTTCTGGCAGTCTTCGACGTCCCTGTAGTTACGTTCACTTCTGAAAAATAACAGAACAAGCTTAGGACAGAAATAATCATTTTTATTTAAGTACGCTTCAGGAGCATTTTCACCCGCCTCCTTCTTACGCCAATCGTGGAAGCCCCGTTTCTCGCAAAAAACAACTTGGCAGAAGTAATATGGAAGCAAATCGTCATCAGCAACA